GTTCTGCTCCCATAAAGATTTACAACCTCGGAAACCCTGGGCTGGGTCACTATGAGTCGGAACTAACTCCATGGTACTTAACAATAACCTGGCAATAAATACTTTTTTTGGTTTTGTTTTGTTTCGTGTTTATGATGACAAATCAATTTTCAAGTTTGTTTTCCTTTAAATACAGACCAATCTAATCCAAGATATTTCATCTCACACAGACACACTGCTATGGGATCATCCTCTAATTGACTTGACAGTGCAGGTATGGGGTGGAAAAGGGATAGGGGGAAGGCTTTCTTGGGTAGTACCGTCATGAGGTCTTATAGGCAATTTTTATACTACTTTATTCTTTTACGATTTTTCAAAAAATATTTTATTGTGAATTATGTTATAGTTTACATGGGAGAATATTAGCTTTGTATTCATCCTATTGTATATTGTTTCATTGCCATGGTTACAATCCCTTCCATGCATCATCAAAAAACCCCACATCCGGGTAACCAGCTAAGAATCTCCCAACCCCTTTAGTATGGGTTCTTTTTCTTAGTCTTTTACAATAGTGGTTCTATGCTGTCTTTCTCCTTTTGTGATTGACTAATTTCATTCAACATAATGTCCTCAAGTTTCATCCATGTTATGCAGTGGCTTGCAGCTTCCTTGTTATGCTTCAAGGTAGCATAATATTCCATTGTGTGTATGTACTGCAGTTTATCCATTCTTCAGTTGATGGCACTTAGGCTGTCTCCATCTTTTTGCTATTGTAAATAGTGCTGCTATGAACATTGGTATGCATATATTTACTTGTGTTTCTTATTTACTTTTAACAGTTCATCTGATAATGTCCAAAATTTATTTTATGGTTTGTTTGTTTTAACATCTGCCAGAACAACAGGAGCATAGGCTTGATATTTTAATAGTTTATAATGTAGATCATCACTGGACTGTGAACCAGAATGTCAGCAGTTCAAACCCACCCAGCTGCTCCTCAGAAACTCTATCCAACATCACTTAACAACAACTAATCTATCTGTGGTCCTGGTGTGACACTGTAGGATTAGCTCTGAACTTTTAACCACAAAGTCTGTGGTTCAAACCAACCAGCTACTCCTTGGAAATCCTATATAGTGTAGCTAGGAGTTGGAACTGATGAGACAATGCCTAACACCACCACCTAATTAATCTGGCCATGATTACTTGTCTTGAATACAACAAAAATAATCTAGATTGTTGTTGTTGTTAAGTGCTATTAACACCTAGTGACCTTGATTAGGGTTTCCTAGTCTTTAAATCTTAGATGGAGCAGAAAGTCTTATCTTTCTCCCAAGGAGCAGCTTCCCTCTAAGTTACTAACTTGTATACCGTGTTGGATTACCCAATAAGCAAGGTAAGTATAATTTTACTTTTGCTTATTTACTAATCTGTAATGAGCAGTTTCACCTTTCTTCACCACATCAAAGATTCTGCTTTTAGGTATAGCTGGCATCTGTCTCCCTTTTGTTGTTGTTATGTGCCGTGGAGTTGGTTCCTACTCATAGTGACCCTGTGCAGGGTTTCTGAGGCTGTAAATCTTTACGGGAGCAGAAAGCCTCATCTTTCTCCCATGGAACTGCTTGTAGTTTCGAACCGCTGACCTTGCGGTTTGCAGCCCAATTCGTAACCACTACGCTACCAGAGCTCCTTTCAAATCTACAATCCCTGAAAAGGACACAGTACCCAATAAGAAAGGTGTATCTCCACTTGTACACAGTTAAGCTTATTTTCCAAATTTTCTATCCATGTTTATGGGCATGTGAAAATTGTCTATAGATAGATCACTCTGCCAATTTTGGCAATAAACTACTCACAAGTGCTTATAACTCACTTTCAGAATCATCAAATTAATGCAATCTTTAATAAAGGGCGATTTCATTGAACAAGACAAGCAATAGTTTTCTTAGTTAACAAAATGATACCTAGATACTCTGAAAGCCTTTTGTGTATATGAATATGTCAAGGGAGAAATAGTGAATGGAATTCTAACTTTTTAAAAAAGTCACAAAATTTCAAACCCAAAATTAGTAATGTTAAAAGAAAAGAAAAAACAAATAAATCAAGAAATCTAAAACAATATATTCAACAAGGAGTAACAGCATGTTATGTTAAACAATGAAATTAAAAATAGAAAACAAATAGTAAGTGTAAATGGACTTATCTTGTTAGATACAAGGAGTCCTAGTGGCACAGTGGTTAAAGCATTCAGCTGCTAGCCATAGGCCAGTAGTTGGAACTCAGCAGGCACTTAGCTGGAGAAAGATGTGACAGTTTGTGGTCCTAGAGACTTTATGGAAACTTTATGGAAAGTTCTATTCTGTCTTGTCAGAATGAGCTCAACAACAGGGGGGTTGGTTTTCTTTTTAATAGATTCAATCAAAATAACTTTCCATAAATGATTGGATGGGTCTGGTTCAGAGTGAAGTCTCCAAATTATTATATGCTTTTAAATTCTCCTTTTCCTTTTGTCCCTGTTCTATGGTGAACTGTCCGGCTTCCTGTTCTAGTGTAGTCTTTCACCTGCTTGTGCACAATTGAAAATGACCTTCTTCTACCTCCACACTTTCCTGCCTGCTTGCCATATAGTTTACTCAATTCTTTGTTCTTGGACTATCCTCATCTGTTAAGTTTTGCTCTTAGGAAGCTTTCTTGATTTCCCAGCCCTAATGCTCTCTTCTTTGTTGATACCACAACACTTGATACACATTTCTACATCCCTCCAACCTCTTCTGAACAGCAATTTGTATTCCCAGTTACACTCAGTATAGGGCCTCAAAACATTTATTTAATCAAGTCAGCGCAGATAACTTAGTAGTACTTTGGATACACCATCCACTGATTGCTCATCTTGGATCATTGTTGTTGTTGTCAGGTGCCATCGAGTCGGAACCGACTCATAGCGACCCCATGCACAGCAGAACGAAACAATGTTCGATCCTGGGGCAACCTCACTACCGCCGCCACACCTGAGTCCATCAATGATGCCACCTGGCTGATCCATCTCGTTGGGGGTCTTCCTCTTCTTCTCTGACCCTCCACCCTACCCAGCATGACATCCTTCTCCAACGATTGTTTCCTCCGGACAATATGTCCAAAGTAGGAGAGACGAAGCTTAGCCATCCTGGCCTCCAAGGAGCACTCTGGCTGCACTTCTTCCAAAACAGATCTATTGGTTCTTTTGGCAGTCCATGGCACTTTCAGTATTCTCCTCCAACACCACAACTCAAAGGCATCAATTCTTCTATGATCCTCCTTATTCACTGTCCAGCTTTCACATCCATATGAGGCTATTGAAAACACAATGGCCTGGGTCAGGCACACCCTAGTCCTCAAGCTGACATCTCTGTTCTTCAACACTTTAAAAAGTTCCTGTGCAGCAGATTTGCCCAGTGCAATACGTCGTCTGATCTCTTGACTGCTACTTCCGTGAGTGTTGATAGTTGATCCAAGAAGAATGAAGTCCTTGACAACTTCAATCTTTTCTCCATTGATAAGAATGTTGTTTATTGGTCCAGTGGTGAGGATTTTTGTTTTCTTGACATTGAGATGTAATCCATATCGAAGGCTGTGCTCTTTAATCTTCATAAGTAAATGTTTCAAGTCCTCTTCACTTTCAGCGATCAAGGTTGTATCATCTGCATATCACAGGTTGTTAATGAGTTTTCCTCCAATCCTGATGCCACGTTTTTCTTCATAGAACCCAGCTTCTCGTATTATTTGCTCAGCATACAGGTTGAATAAGTATGGTGAAAGAATACAACCCTGTCTCACACCTTTCCAATTTTAAAACATTCAGTGTTCCCATGTTCTGTTTGAACAACTGCTTCTTGGTCTAGGTACAGATTTCTTAGAAGTACAATTAAGTGTTCTGGAATACTCATACTTCTCAATGTTGTCCATAGCTTGTCATGATCCACACAATTGAAGGCCTTTGCGTAGTCAATAAAGCACAGGTAAACATCCTTCTGATATTCTCTGCTTTCAGCCAAGATCCATCGGATATCAGCAATGATATCTCTATATCCATCCATTTTGGATCATAGGCTTTTGTTATTCATAAAATCCTTGAAAACATTTGCGCTTATGTCATACTGAAAGTAATTTATATTACTCAAGCACAGAAAGGAAAAGTAGTCCAAGTACATTTCAGGTGCTCTGCTGATGGACCCTAGAGAAAAAAACTGGAGTTACCATGTAGGGAGGTTGGACGAAGTAAACGCAATATTTTGTTAGCATATGGGGGACATTGGATCACTTCTTCGGTTTATAAATCTCGGCAGGTGATAGGAACTTCAAAGACTCAAGTGCGGTTACATTTGAAAAAGTGTTGGACGCCTCAGCCGAGGCGGAAGTAATAGCACTTACCCTATATGAGAGAAGCCCGCCCCGCCCCCAGTTGTGGCCCACTGCACTCTGGGTGTTGTAGTCCCGGTTGGCAGCGTCCCAAAGGACGGAAGGGCAAAGGATTCCAGCCCGCCTCTCTGGCTTCAGGAGGTTACGTTCTCTAACTGCTACCTTCCGTTCTTTCGGGCGGAACCTTCAGAGTGCAAGGCTGGTTCGACTTGTACCAACGTCTCTTTTCTGGGTTTCAATAAAGTTTTCCTCTTCGTCCACTTGTACGGAGCTCAAGATGGCGACCTCCTGGTCTCCCTTGCTTACTCTGCGCACCTTAGTGCAGAAGCGGCTGAAAGGGAGACTTGTTGGGTGCGGGGACTGGGCCGTCGCTTTCGCCCCTCCGGCCGCCGCTCTTGGGAATCCCCTTTGGAAAGGTCAGTGACTGCCATGAGGAGCCTGAGCCGACCCGCCGGTGTGTGCATATGGCCCGGGGAGCTTCTGGGGTCATCTGCCCCAGTATCCATCGCCCACAGCTGCCTCCCGGTTTTCATACGTTTTCATAGTTGAGGAATTCAGCCTTTCGAGCCTTTCTACACTGGCTGTCTGAAAAGGAATCCTGAGCAAAGCTGGCCTGGGTGACTTTCATTTTGAGGGTCAAAGCTAGACCCAGATTATGTTCCTTCCTGGGTGTTAGTTGCAACCTGGTGGGATTAGGTTTGGGGGCCTTCCACCCTTACCTTCCAACCTCTCCGGGCTGGTGACTGAGCACAGACCCAAGAGCCATGCCTCGGACCCCTGCAGGCCCTGAAGACTCTGATTCTGGGAACAAAGTCCACAAGTATTTCAGTTTGAGGAAAGGATTCTTGGTGTTCTCTTCAAACCAATAGACAACGAACTGAGTGCGTTTTGGCACCCAGTTTGCTTCATTCATTCAATTGTGATATGCATCTTTGAGTTTAATGAACACATTTCTTGAGTAACACACCCATGTAGTGAGACTGTTATTGCTTTGCTCGTATAACTCACTAACCAAAACCCACTGCCGTCAAGGTCAAGTGGATTTCTACCCGTGGCGACCCTGTATAAGGTTTTCGAGGCTGTAAATCTTTGTTGTCATTGTTAGTTACAGTTGAGTGGCTTCCATCTCATAGTGACCCTGTTCACAACAGAACAAAACACTGCTGGCTCCACAATATTCTGATGCTATCTGATTGCTACTTATAAGCCTTTAAGTGCCTAACCTTTCAGAAGTGGTCCTCCTCTCCTTCCTAGTCTATCTTAGTCTGGAAATTCATCTGAAACTGTATTTAAATGGTATTTAAAACTCCAGTGGCATACTCAAATGCCACCACAATACACAAACTGACAGATGAGCGGTGGTGTAAATCTTTATGGGAGCAGAAAGGCTCATCATCTTTCACACTCAGAGCAGCTGGTGGGTTTGAACTGTTGACTTTGGGCTTAGCAGTCCAGTGCTTATTGTGCAGCGCCACTAGGGCTTCTCTTTATTTATATACTTGAGTTATATTGAAGGCTCCTCAAGGGTGAGGATCTTGCATAGTTTCCCCAACACTTAGCACAATGACAGATGATGTTTTTTGAATGAAACGTCATTCATGGTGGGCAGATGATGTTTTTTGAATGAAGATTCTTACTGTCTGTCCCATGTACATATTCATTTCTTTTTCTCATCTTTAAGTATTCCCACCTCCTCTCGGGGGAGGCGGGGAGTGGTTCTGACTCATTGTGACCCTGTATAGGGTTTCAGGAATCCTGGTGTGGTGCTGTGGGTTAATGTGCCAGACTGCAAAGCCGTTTGAACTGCAAGGTCGGTGTTTCAAGCTCACCGGTTGCTCCTCGGAAACCCTGTATAGGATCCCTATGGGTCGGATCCGACTCGACAGCACTTAACAACAGCATAGGGTTTCTGGGAGTCCTGATGTGGCACTGGACTGCAAAATCGTTTGAACCACAGGTCAGTGGTTCAAGCTCATCAGCCGCTCCTTGGAAACCCTGTACAGTGTCGCTATGGGTCAGAACCGACTCGATGGCACTTAACAACAACAACAGCAAGTAGGGTTTCCAAAGGGTGGCTGGTAAGCTTGAACTGCTGAGCTTGCAGTTAAAACTGACTTTGCAGCCCAGTGCATTATCCTGCTATGTGCCACACCAGAACTGTATATCCTATATACCCTAAATAAAGTTTGTATACTTTAATGACTTGATATTGGCTAATTTAGCTAAGAATGTACTAGTCTTTGACAATTATTGTCAATCCACTTAAAATTAGTACTAGAAATATGATTCCGTCATGTTAGGTTTTTCTCCAAATTTCAGCACAGTGCCCTTAATGTATAGTGGAATACTTGAGCAGTACAAACCGTGGATCATAATATAAATTTTATTTTATCTTAGACAAGAAAAACACATGGTACAAAATTGAAAAGTTATAATAAAAAATGCGGTAACATTTGCTGTCCCCTAGCCATAGGTAATCTGATACTAGTTTCTTATGTATTCTTCCAAAGACATTCTGGAATATGCATATGGAAGTGTACTATATACACTGTTCTATTCCTTTTTTTAAACATTAACTTATCTCATAGATTATTCCATATTAATAAGCATAGCATTACTTCATGTTTTAATTATTAATATTCCATTTGGTGCAGTGAGTTAAGCATTCTTTGGTATAGTGGTTCAGTGGCTGGACCCACCAGCTGATCCGCAGGAGAAAGATCAGGCAGTGTGCTTTTATAAAAATCAAGACCCATCAAGTCCGTTCCAACTCATAGGTTTCCAAGGAGTGGCTGGGGAGTTTGAACGGCTGACCTTGTGGTTCCAACCTACTTTGCGGTCCAGTGCTTTATCCCACAGCACCACACCAGGTAAACATTACAGCCTTGGAAATACTATGGAGCAGGAATCAACGGCTAAAAACCTGAAACACCCCAGTGCACTCAAGTTGATTCGGACTCACAGCAACCATAGAGGACAGAGTCGAACTGCTTCATAGGGCTTCCAAGACTGTAAATCTTTACAGAAGCATTTGCCTCATCTTTCTTCCAAGGATTGGCTGGTAGTGTTGAACTACCTACATTTTGGTTTAATGGTTAAGAATTGGGCTGCTATCCTCAAGATAAGCAGTTTGAAACTACCAGTTATTCCGTGGGAGAAAGTTGAGGCTTTCTGCTCTCATAAAGATTTACAGCCTCGGAAATCCTGTGCAGGGTCACTATGGGTCAGAACCAACTCCACCTAACAGCAACAACATTTTGTTAGCAACCCAATGCTTGATCCACTGAGCCACTAGAGGCAATGGGTTTTTATTCCATTTTGTGTTGGTAGCATTGTGTTGTTGTTAAGTGCCATCAGGTCGGTTCTGACTCACAGTGACCCTGTATAGGGTTTCTGAAGAGCAGCTGGTGGGTTTGAACTACTGATCTTGTGGTATGCCGTCCAATGCTGGTCCTACAGCACCTCATCAGATGGTTTATGAAAACTGATAGAAGATTTAAGGAACAACATCATAATAACCTAAATTTACTAAATGCTTACCCCCTATGTTATGTAATATACTCATTTAATCCTCAAAATCACCGTATGAGGCTGGCATTATTTTATGGATGATGAAAGTGAGGCTGCCGGAGGTTATATAATTAATAAATGGCTGAACTAGCGTTCAAGTAAAGATATATTTGAACTTAACATTTGTTCCTGCTAAACCTATTGTACTCATACTGTCTTCTGTACTCTTCTTTTAGCTAGTTCTGGGTTTGGGAATATGATGAAAATGTGTGGGAATATGATGAAAATGCAGTTGGAGTAGATGTTAATTTAATTGCAAATAAGAATGCTCCCCTTCAAGTAAATGAAAATTTTAAGCTGAAATTTTGTTCAATATGTAATTTATAAATTTGGTTTCTCTCCCATTATGTTTTGTTTTTATTCGCTATTTATATTTCTAATTTTATCTCCATGTTTTCATCTTTTGAAGTCTACTATTTAGAGTAATGTGAGTAAAACATTGGCTTCAAATGAAACTAGAGGAGAAAATAGGGTAAGGAAAGAGATGATGGGAAAGGAGAACACGATTTTAAGCATTGCTTTTATATCTCACGAAAGGTTAATGCCACTTTTGACTTCAAGACAGTTTGTAAGCTGAAACTGAAAACTTGCTGGGTCTTGAAATGCTTGTAATCCAAATCACCTACTTGATTGCCCAACTGTAAACTCCTTAGGAAACACTACATTATGAATTTCATTTTTGGTATCCTGGTGTAGTACTGTAGGGTAAGCACAGGACTGCTAACTACAAGGTTGGCAGTTCAAACCCACCAGCTGCTCTTGAAAACTCTATACAGGATTGATACAAGTCAGAACTGACTCAATGGCACTTAGCAACAATGTAACTTAAGTATGTGTGCTTTCTGTTTTTGTCACTGTGTGTTTTTAGTTCTTAGTGTGTCTTTGTTGTTAGCTCCCTTTGACTTGGCCCTACGCTCTTGGCCATCCCATGCTCAGCAGTATGGAAAGCGGTCTGCTCCTACTTATGATCTCTGATGTGTTTGAATCATTGTTGGCTCTATTGTATCATGCCAGCTATTGAAGGGTCCCCTCATTTCGCAGACGCTCTGTTTTACGTTTTTTAAAAAATGTGTTTATTGTAAACTGAGTGATAGTTTACATGGGAGAACATTGATTTTGCACTCAACCAATCATATTTTGTTTCAATGCAATGATTACAATCCCCTCCATGCACTATTGGTTAACAGTATTTGCCTCTATCTCCCCCCCCCCCCTTTTTATTTTTGGATGTACACAAAAACATGCAGGGCTATATAATGGTTTAAACTCTTCTACCTTTTATAGACATTGGTAAGATGTAAGAACAAAGGAAAAAAATAACCTGCTGCCTTTGAGTCCATTCCAACTTACACTGACCTTCTAGGACGGCATAGAACTGCCCCATGGGGTTTCCCAGGCTGTACATCTTTACCGAAGTAGACTGCCATCTTTCTCCCTGGTGGGTTTGAACCACTCATCTTTCAGTTAGCAGCCCAGGACTCCTTTGGTAAGAGTGTTGTTGTTGCTAAGTGCTGTTGAGTCAGTTCTGACTCATATTGACCCTGTACAGGGTTTCTGAGGAGTGACTAATGGACTTGAAGTGTCGACCTTGCTATTCATACCGATCTTGTCATTCAGTGTTTATCCTAAAGCGCTACACCAGGACTCCTTGGTAAGATGTTGTTGTTGTCAAATCACTTCCAACCCATAGCAACTCTATATAGGGTTTCCAAGGAGTGGTGAGCTTGAACCGCTGATCTTGTGATTCACATTGTAGTCCAGCGTATTAACCCACAGTGCCACACCAGAACTCCTGGTAAGATTATAGCCATTGAAAAACCCTATGGAGCCCAGTCATACTCTGACA